TTTTTTAAAGGATTGGTGTAGGTTTTATACACATTAGAACTGAAGTTTTACTTAGCATCTATAAGTGGCAAAAAACGCACAAAATACCACTTGTAGGGTTCTCGATAAAGCTTTAATATAATCAAGAGAGGATAGACTTCAGAGTATCAAAGTAAACGTTAAATGAAATATTAGGATCAAAATTTCGACTAAGGATGTTGTACTAATTGTATCATATATAACTTAACGTTATAACAAAGATTACTTGTATACTTTTCAATTGTACAAATTATAAGTAAAATTGAAAATTGTATTCTCTCTGAATTTCTTCAAGTGGAATTTCATTCAAGAGATGAAGTGACAGCCGTGAAAAATAGATGACAGTCAAGTTCAAAGAAACTTGTCCTCGAGTACATTTTATTTCAACGATTGAATAAATGATAGATAAACGTTAAAGTACGTATGACTTCCGTTTCTGAAATTTTCGTGCAAGTTAACGAGATTTCAAGTCAGGAATGAACCGAACGCGACAATCGGCGTTATGTTAAATCGTTCACAATTCTCAGAGTATTCCAATTGCCGATCGATAAAGCTGACAGACGCACGAGAAGGCGCGTTCTCTAGCCGATTCTTCACACCTCGTACAACTGTCGACCAATTAAGCTTCTGTGAAGCTGTACTTTACGAGGAGATGTTGTTGTGCGCCCCTTGGCAGATCGTCCTTCGACGTCGCAGCAGCGTACGAAGCACACAAGCATGCGATCCACGCCGAAGGACATGAAGATGAAAACACCGCGCGGATCGATTGACCGAGCGTATCGTGCAGGCGTAAAAGGCGTAAACGCGTTTGCGTCAACGATAACGACGGATGATCGATGCGCGCGTCTGGTCCCAAAGCAGCATCGTGCTCTCTCAATTTCTTGGAGTGAAGTTTCACTCGAAAATTGGAGTGACCACCGAGCCACTCGAATTTAATTAAGTTTTCATACATAATGGATTATTCGCTCTAAATCGTCAAGTGATTACTTTCACTCGAAACTAAAGTGTGAATATGATGCACTCCACTGTCACAGGAACACACTCTAATCAATTGAAACATTCGCTCATATGGAATCAGAATCAAGCTTAAGTAAAACATTCACTTTTGCGACTGCACGGAGAAAAATAATTTTGCTCTTTTAGCAAAATCGTCATTGCTACTGTATATTCATAGTGACATCAAAAAAATTTAGTTGACCTAACTAATTTTACAAATTACTCGTTATCAGAGTAGAAGTAGTTTCGTTGCCAGGATAGAAAAAATTTGTTGAGCATATTTGTCCTAAGAATCATGTTAATTTGCTATTGATGCAAAATAATATATCCTTAACAAATTTATTTGCTATCGGAGCAAAACTGCAACTCTTTATATAAATCCATCATGGTTCTTATAGCGAAATAATTTGTAGATATAGCAAATTATATTCAGCAAATAGTGATTGGTACTCTTAGCAAATCTTTTTGCTGTCCATATAATAATGAAAAGATTTTGTTAGACCACCAGAAAATTTGCTGGGCCAACAAATTATTTTTCTCCGTGTGTGGGTAGCAGTATTTCTACTGTCGTTTCGAGTAAAAATACTATTACTTTTCACTTGTTTTGAGATTCTACTTCAAGAAATTTTGAGAATGCTCTATCAGAATAATAACTTTAGCGAAAATATGTCCTTTGCCAAAAACAAAGAATTAAAGTAGTTAAAGATAAAAGAAATTTCCCTTCGTAATGATTAAGACCCATATTAATACTTGTAAAACTCCTCTCAAGTAACTCAGATTTGAGTTTAAAGTTAAATGAGAGTTTTTTTCAGTTAAATCACGATCTCTGATATAACGTCATATACACATGTATGTCATTGAATTCAACCGAAAATTTCGGACCTAATTCTGAATAAAAATCTCATGTGAGATATCTCAGACTTCAAGTAACAACTATTAGGTCGGTAGGAAAATAATGTCGGTTTTTAACTTTTAACTTTAAACGCATATATCTCAGCTCAGAATAAATTGTATTAATCGAAATAAGAACCATTACAATCAACACATTTTTTTCCAACGAGAAACAAATTTATTTATTCTGGTAACGTAGAATTGCAATGTCCTGAAATCGATAAACTCTCGGAAGGCATTTTCAACAGCACCGTGGTTATTGAAGACTTTCTCCTGCAGGAAGTAATCGAGGTGCTTAAAAAGTGGTAATCGGTTGGCGAGAGGTCTGGTGAGTATGGTGGGTGAGGCAGAGTTTCGTAGTCTAATTCATTCAGTTTCTGCAGCGTCGGTTGTGCGACGTGTGGCCGGACATTGTCGTGAAGAAGAATGGGACCTTTTCTATTGACCAATGCCGGGCATAGGTGTTGCAGTTTGCGATGCATTTCGTCGATTTGTTGACAATACTTTTCTGTCGTGATAGTTTCGCCTGGATTCAGGAAGTTGTAGTGGATTAGACCGGCTGATGGCACCAAACCGTCACCATGGTCTTCCTTTGGTGCAGCTTTAGGAAGTGTTGTGGAGCTTCGCCGCGGTTGTCGTATAGAATCCATTTTTCATCGCATATCATAATGCGATCGAGAAATAGATCGTTGTTGTTGCGCAAAAGAAGCGCAAAGCATACTTCATAACGGCGATTTTTTTTATTTTCATTCAATTCATGCGGCACCCATTTGTCGAGCTTTTTTAATTTTCCAAGTTGCCTGAGGTAATCCAGAACTGTTGGATGACTTACGTCTAACTTTACAGCAAGCTCTCGAATCGTTGTGCGCGGATCTGCCTCGACCAACACCTTCAATTCGTTGTTGTCAACTGCCGATGGACGTCCACGACTTTCTTCATCTTCAAGGCTCTCATCGTCATTCCGAAATTTTTGAAATTAACGTTGTATCGTACGTTCGTTTACGGTTCCCTGGCCGAATACGCTGTTGATGTTACGAGTCGCCTCTGTTGCTTTATGTCTTAGTTTGAACTCGTACAAGAATATCGCTCGCAATTGCTTCTTTTCCATCATGAATTCTATAAATAATAATGGACACAAAATAATAGTAAAAATAAAACCAATAGCAAAGAAATATAGAGCAAATCCTGCGCTTTAAAATGGTATATAAAATAAATATATTAAAAGAAATATTTATTCCAAAAACAAGTAGCAAAGTCAAATAATATATAAAACCGACATTATTTTCCTACCCAGACAGCACAAAATCTTCAGAGAATGTTCTAGGATATTCTTAGAATGTATGAATGTCCTTAGAACCTCCTTAGAACGTTCTTTGAAGATTTGTGCTGTATGGGTACCAACCTAATATTAATACGTCCAAATGTCACAAATCAAGAGTATCTCGCACGGAAAAAAAATCTGATACATATGGACAAATAAACATAATTTGCTGTATTAGCCATTTTTTCATTGCTGCAGAAGCCAATTTTCTTGCCATGATGACAAGAAAATCTATTCCTGCAACAAAAAAGTAGCTAAAGCAGTAAATTATGTTTAGCTGTCCATCTGTAGAAAATTTGCTACGTTTAGCTACTTTTCTTGTTGCAAGAGCAGACTTTCTTGTTATCATAGCAAGAAAATAGGTTCCTGCAGCAAAGAAAAAGTAGCTAACACAGCAAATTATATTTAATTGTTCGTATATAGCAAATTAGTTTGCTGCTGTAGCAAATTATTTTGTTCCGTGCGTGAAAGCGAGGGTACTTCGAAGATGTCCCGATCGACTCTAGATATTAGGGTTACAGACCGCTCGTCTCGGTATTATGTCATTCCAGACGCACGTTGCAGTAATTACTTAATCTATGTGAGGTCATCCCGACTGGAAATAGATAGTGACAGTTTGTGCGAGTAACGTGCGGGGGGCGCGGCTATACAAGTGGTCGTTAAATACTCCCACGGTGAAAGAGAAGAAGAGTAAAGCGGACTGTGCTTACGTGTATGCACACAGTATCGTAAATATATTGCGTTGTCGAGTGCGAGCACGCAATACTAAAATACATCGCGGTATCGTTAATCTACAAAATTAATATTCTCATTGGAGTACTCGTTCGTGCAGCAAGAAGCGATTTTCAGAGGATTCCATCGTTCAATCCGATTATTCGAGCTTGATCTCTGCTATCATCTAGCAGAGCTATTCTGTAATTTTTTAACACATAACACGTTCTCGCTAATAACAGCTTACTTACGTAATAGCTGCGCAATGACATTTAACGATATTGTGATTTAAAAGTTACGGAACACGCACAAAAAGATACACACTGCATTCAAGTTGAAGTTTTAAGTATTTTACAAATTTATGTATCCGCAAATCTATCACATCATAAGCATCAAATTTATTCAAGATATGTTCTGAATTCTAGTAGATAATTAATATTTTAATCAAGAATATTAAATTATGAGAAAAACTCGGTTTATTTATTGCATAAAGTCTCGAAACAACTTTTTCTTTGATAAAAATTTTATAGTATTCTTGTAAAGAGAATAAATTCTTTTTTTCACATACAACATATGACAACGAACTTCCCCAAAATTTATATTTCAAAAATATCATCAAAAAGTGATATCATTATTTGTGATAGATAATTGAGGAAAATAAAACCAATAGCAAAGAAATATAGAGCAAATCCTGCGCTTTAAAATGATATATTAATGATATGGTAAAATAATAAACTGAATAATTGCTTTTCTTATTAGAAAAATGATAATTTTCTATATAATCATGCAAGTAATATAGGAGCTTCTGAAAGACGTCTTAGACGTCTTAACAGAAGGTTGCACCAACCAAGTGGTGAGCTAAATAACAGTTAAATCATATGTTTGTTTTTTTGTTTCCGCTTTAATATAGATAAAGATAGATACATATTTTAACTGTTAGTTAGCTCACTATTTGGTTGATATAATCAGGCCTAAAATACGTCTGAAGAAGTTAATACGTCTATTAGCCCTTGTCCACAACCTTGCTTTAAGACGTAAGCCGTAAGAAATTGACCAACCACAGTCGATTATTTTTTAAATAATTGACCGTGGTTGGTCAATTTCTTACGGCTTACGTCTTAAATGAAGATTGTGGACAAAAGGCTTACCCCTTGTCCACAACCTTGCTTTAATTTTTAAGCCGTAATAAATTAACCAACCACAGTCAATTATTTTAAAAATAATCGACTGTGGTTGGTCAATTTCTTACAGCTTAAGAATTAAAGCAAGGTTTGGACAAGGGGTTAGACATCTTAAAAATGTTTTTAAAGCGTCCTTTAGAAGCTTCTGCTACCTGAGATTATCTAAACCGAAAACAAAGAGACGATCGAGCGGATGGATATCTTATTTATACATCGTTAATATTTCACTCGTACGTTATAAATGACAAGTTATTTTCCTTGTACGTATACCAACAGTACCGATACCACAGTATTGATTACGAGAGAGTGTTGTATGTACGCGCGATGTCCCGAGATAATCGAGCCTAATTGAATCGGCCGCAATTATAAAACACACGTATAGATAATCCCGCCGAGGTCTCGATGAAACGGCGGGAAGATTCGCGCAGTTCCGGGGTCACTGTGGGTGCAAATTAAAACCACGCGACACCGCACGCAGATTAAGCCGCATTAAAGCGGTCTGCACTTTGACAGTGCTCTTATCTCGGTCACTTAAGATATCACATATGAGTGGGTGCCGCGGGAAGGAATGCATCGCGTGTGTGTGTGTAGCGCAACGTATACGCAGGGCTGTGTAATATCGCGCTTCACCGAGATATGGAATAAATAAAATACAATATATACTCGTCGAAAAGAAATGAGTTGCCCGATAAAACCATAGACATGTGATATATAGACTGCGCATTCTCTTTCCCATCAAGAAAAGGCGTCCGAAAATTAGAAAGAGCAAAATGTTTTGAAACCCTATTCTCTTTGTCAGAAAACGTGGTGGGGGAAAAGCGAGCGGTCTTTTATTGTGGAATAGATACTGAGAGACAAGGATATGTAGGAGGTCCAAAGCATTTTGCTCTTTCTAATTTCTGTACACTTTCTCAGCCAAACCTTCAGTCTATATATTATATTTCTATGGTTTCACCTGGCAACTCGTCGTTTCTTCCCGGCGAGTAAAATATATTACGATCACGATTGCGTCAAAATGATGCCGCTTATGAGATCGTAACAACACAAGCGGAAAATTATTTATCTACTTAAAGCTCCTCCCGGCTAATCCCGCCGCGGAACTCATGACGTCAGAAACGGGGCAAATGCACGCCCAAAAGTACATCGTTCCACAAAGTATATCGAAATAAAAAGAGGCATCCATAAAATAACACTTGCAATTGATTAAGCACATCTCTTAAATACTCTCAACACTTTTTCTTACTCTAACGATCATTGGATAACCGTAAAATTAACGTGACGAATTTATGAGAAAATGTAGATTAAAAAGGAAGATAACGTATCATGCTAATTTTACGGTTATTTGTCGATTGTTAAAGCAAAAGGAAAATGTTTGGAGTATTTCAGAAATGTTTAATCAATTGCAAATCATTTTTTTCTAGATATAGCCTTTTATCTAGGCATACTTTGTACGAGTTTCGGAGGGGCGTGTGTTTTCTCGCTTCTGACGTCATAAATCAAGATGACTGCAGCGAATAGTCGAGAGCCTTAATTTATTAATTGTTTACGTTCTATCTCCTTTGATTTACGATTAATTAAAAACGATCTCGAAATAGCCATGTGAAGCTCGCTGATCCGAGATGTCGTGTTCGTTAAAACCCAGGACGAAAAATCACGATGGTAAAAATAACGAGAAAATATTGGAAAGAAGTTCATTTTTCATCAGAATTCGATTGATTTCTGACTTCATGTTTAATCGTGACAAGCGAAGAAGATAGATCCAGAGAGAGTGAAATCGGAACAAGCGAACGATTTTTCCGTTGATTATGGCAAACTCATAAGCGACAGTAAAATTATCCAAGAGAACGTTCTCGTCAAATTGGTCGTGCAATTTAATTCGTTAATTGCACAAAAACTGCGTCGATTGCGTGAAACTGTCAGAAGCCTCGCTCATTCATTACTCACTCATTCGCGAATCCCACGGAACTACGCCCCACGTCGTTCTCACGACTCGGGCGTGAAGAAGACGGAGCGAGCGACGTACGTGTCAAATCATCGCGGCTATCGACTGGCTGCGCGTCGCGCCGAAGAAATCGCGACGCGAGAATCGCGGAGAATCGCCAAAGGCCAGAGAATAAGCGAGCGAGCGAACGAGAGAGAGAGAGAAAGAGAAAAGTACGCTTCACGTGCGACTCGTTCACGGCTGCCAATTCTCGCGAGCTCCAGCGGGCTGAGACGTCACAGAGAAACGAAGCTCCACGTATACGCAACAGTGTTACACTCGCGGGAATCGAGTAGCGTGCTCGGTTATTTACCGTTCCACCTGTTACTGGCTCAGCTGGTCCTGCTCGTCTTCTTCCTCCTTTTTCTTTCACTCTCTTTCGTTGATCGACGCCGCGCTCAGTTGCCACTATTTTTTTCCGCCAACGACGCTCGATGACGAGGCGTCGATGCACACGCGCTTCGCCGGATTCTACCCGATCGTTCCCGACGACGTGCCTCCTCCGTGTGTCCCGGCGTTTCTCACCGCTTCTTCCTCCGCTCTTCCTCCCGTAAGGGATAATAAATGCTACTTATCTGCTTACTGATTTTCGCCCCTTTTGGGCATACACTATCGCTCTTCACACGTACGTCCTCGAAGCGCGTGAACTATTTGCCGACGATACTACGGAACGCAGGCAGAGAGCAGGTAAGTGAGGCGAGTAAGTACACACACATCTCCGGACGTGTAGCGGCGAACATACTGGCCGTATTTCGAAACGGCCGACCGTTGAGGATGGATCTATATGGACGCGGAGAACACGTTCTGGCCGCCAGCGTCACGCTGGCGACATCTGTCGAACGCAAGCGACGTTAGCTTCGTTTCAACGTCACACTGGTGGCATCCGTGGCTGACTCCGTGAACTTCAAGTGACTCGCGCATTCAACAAATGCTGCCACCATGACGTTGAGGATAAAGCTTCTTTCTAGGGTGCTTTCGATAAGCTCGTTGTCCATGCTAATGCAGGATTTACACTAGAGATGCCCGATTCTTAATCGATTCGATTCTTTCCCTAACAAATTTAGGGAAAAAGGGTTGTTCGTGTTGCTTGCATGTTTCATACTTTTTGCTTTTAAAAAGAGATGGACGTCTAATCAAACGCTTGGAAGAAACAATCGAGTTGGTTGTCTCGTTTTTGCTTCTTCGAAACATTCCAATATATTTCTGCCTAGTTTTAAATACGAAAAGTGCGAAGAGTGCAAACAACACAATAAGCCTATTTCTGAGAAAAGAATCGAATCGATTCAGGATCGGGCATCTCTAATTCACACCGCGTCCGATGTTTCATGTACGACGTCCGATACCCAATAGGAGAACAGCTTTCTAATAAAGAATTCAATTCTCCATTAAGCCCATTCTACAATTATGGACAGCAGGTCTTAAAGGATAGCAACCTTTGACTTTGAGAGACTGACAGCTGTACCATTTGGTACAGTAACATTGTTTCTCTCTGTAGTCACGCTCGGGATCGCGCCAGAGATGTTGCTTCCGAACGGCATCTCTGAGCGTTATCTAGGGAGAGGAGAGTGTCGTGAGCGTGGAGCGTCAGGTAGTTCAGTGGTTTAGAGCAGTCGCCCGGCAAGCGAAAGACCCGCGTTCGAGTCCTGGCCTAGCAGAACCGCGCTCTCGATATTTTTCTCCCTTTGGAACGAAAAGATACGCAGATCTCGAACGCGCATGGCGTCCCGCCGCCACCTAGTATGCTCTCCTCCTTCTATGGTATTACGTGAACGTGGTTGTAAGTGGTTACGACACCAATGAGTAAAGCCCATTCTACAATTGCGTGAATGTGGATGTAAGTGGTTGTAAGTGATTACGACACCAATCAGAGTAAAGCAATCAGTGAATAAAACATTCGGATTGGTTGACTTTTATGTTCACGACTACGCTTATGCAATTGTAGAATGGGCTTAAAGCAATCAATGAATAAAACATTCGGATTGGTTGACTCTTACGTTCACAACGGGAGTGTCCCGATTGACCACGGTACGATTGGACACAACCAACCGATGAAAAAGGAATTATGAAAGGAATTATCTAGTGAATTAGTAGATCGAACCAATTATTACAATCTGTGTCCAATCGTATCGTGGTCAATCGGGTCCCACCCGTTCACACTACGCTTACGCAATTGTAGAATGGGCTTTAGAAAGCTGTTCTCTTATTAGATATCGGACATCGTATGTCAGGCATCGGACGCGTGTAAATCCTGCATAACGCGCGTTCTATCTTTATCACTCTTCAAATGTACAAAAAGGGTTGAATAATGGCTCCTGCACACAAGACGCGCTAATGCTTGCCGCGCGGCGGAAGTTCGCGCAACAGCCAATTAATTAATATGCTGCTTTCCGTATTAACCTTCTAGCTTTTACGGAAAAACAACATATTAATTGGCTGTCGCGCGGACTTCCGCCGCGCGGCAAGCATTAGCGAGTCCTGTGTGCAGGAGCTATTATTCTACCCTTTTTGTACATTTGAAGAGTGATAAAGATAGAATAACGCGTTATGCAGGCAAGCATTACCGTGTCTTGTGTGCAGGAGCTATAACACATTAACGCTGATAACAGTTGCATTCCGAAATTCACTGTCAGTATTGAAATTCTATAGTATACGTAACATGAACTATAGATTTTCAGTACTGGGCCCTTATTTTTGAAATAGTTGCATATACATAAGTTTTACTGCAGGTTTAATCATACTATAAAATAGCTGCGCAGTAAAACTTACGTATACGCAACTATTTCAAGGATAAAGGCCATAACAATAAATTTCGGAACGCAACCAATATGTTCCATGAACGCACCCTTAATCAAAGTTAGGAGAAAGTATTATAATTCCTGATTGGTTACATCCTGTCCGCCATTTTTAAGAGTGACGTTACGGTAGTGAGAAAAACTTTAGTAGAAGTGAGAGAGAAGTGAGAGAGAAGCTCGAAGACTGAAATGACAGCACACTGCAGCTTCTCTCTCTTTCCCTCACACACACGCACACACACACTATGCACACTTACTCGCTTTCTCTCTACAAAAGTGACGCACCTTAACTCAGACTTGAAGAGCTCTAGTTTGAGAAGTTTGTATGCTCGGTCGCCGCGATTCTTGAGCTATTCGAAATAACACGTAATCGGTATCGGTAATCGTAAATGTATTCTACGATTTTTCATTCGTCATCTGCGAAATTGATTCTTTAACCTTCCGTGTTATCCATCATCGGTCACTTGATCCCGAGACCTGGTGCAATTGAATCAATGAGCATTAACGAGTATCTACGTTGTAAATTTGATATTCGAATCACAGAAAGTTGTCTTGTCACACTTTCTCACACTTTCCATGTGAGAAGTATTTCCTCAGGCTGAGGATGAAGAGATCGCCAGGAAAGGAGTTTTAGAAAGGTATACTGAGAAAAACAAGCATCACATCTGTAGTAAAAGTAATCGTTTCATTGGTGAAAAAAAGATGACGGTTGTGTGTGAATTTAAAGGCCCAAGCGGTGACTGACAGTGATTGCGAACCGCCTCCGTCGTCACATTGTGGGCATATGTCATACACTTATTCCGTGTTTCGCACACGGAAGACACGAAAGTCTACAACAAACAGCAGGGTCAAAGAACACCCATGGCGCGCTCAGTGACGCGACGGAGTAGAGTGTCCAAGGGAGGGGGATCAACCAGTGGATGACAGTGCGTATTATTGTAAATCCGACGACGAGGTGACGACGGCGACGAGGTAAGATTTGGAACAGTCAGCGCTGCATTGGCTACCCGCAGCCAAGTGGTTAGACGTGGTACTTGTGCTACGCAACTAACCCTAACCTAACCGAACCCGGCGGACCTGGTGAGTCCAGCGGTGCGATGTTTTTAGACAATATTGGCGGCCGAGCGCACCAATAAGCATACCCAAGATAAGCCAGCAAAATCCTCCGGGATGGCGACTGGCAAGCGACGTAACATCCACACGACGGCCGGGAGTGCCGCGGTCAGCAGCGGCATTCGTTCGAATCGAATGAACTTCCGACCGAACTCCACGCAGGAGGATCGCGGCGGCACCCGGCCTACCGCGGGGCCCAGCTCCATTGGCCTAATTCTCGTCACCATGTTGTTGCATGTATGCAAGAAGTCCCTCCTGTTCGACACGCGGCTGAAGGTAGCCATCTACTGCGGCATCATCTTCGTGGTGTCGCTGATCGCGGACTTTGTTGTGATGCCGCGTACGTATTTCTCTCGGTCAGACAACGCGCTGAATCAGTACTTCGTCAAGTGGGGCTGGGGCTGGCTGCTGTCCGTGATGGTGCCGTGGATCGTGCTGACGGCGCACACGATAGGCTGCGGCCGCAGACCGATCCTGCTGCGTCACCTGGGCCGCGCGGTCCTCGCGACCGTCGCCTGGCTCGCTTGGACCAAGCTGTTCAACTACGTCGAGACCAACTACGGCAGGTGTCTGAACACGCGCGACATTCAGCTGCAGTCAAAGGCCAGGTGTCTGCAGTCGGGTAGATTCTGGAGCGGCCTTGACATATCCGGCCATACGTTCATCTTGATATATTCCAGCCTGATACTAGCTGAGGAGGGTTCCTCGCTAGTCGGCTGGGAGGGCATCAAGGATCTGGTGATGCGCGAGGAGCACACGCGCGCCACGCCGAATGAGACGAGCACTGGGCCGCTCCGTAACATTTCCAACAATGACCTCAAGTTCCTCAAGAAGGCGCATCGGGCGCTCACGCCGTACCTACGTGGCCTCTTCGTGGCGATGACGATGCAGCAGCTGCTCTGGGACATCATGCTGGTGTCGACGGTGCTCTACTATCACATCATGATAGAGAAGTTCCTCGGCGGCGCGGCGGCCGTGCTTACGTGGTACGTCACGTACCAATGGTGGTTCAAGCTGCCGAAGAACGGCCTGCCCGCGCCCGGCGATGGTCTCTTCAAATACAACGAGACGAAGATCAACCCGGAAGTCAGCGCTGCCAGGACGAGACGCAGCACTTTGAACGGCACCAATCAAGTGCCAAAGTTTATGGGCATGCCTATCAGAACGACAACGCAAGAAACTGCCGCCGCTGCTACCCCCGAGCCGAATCCATCGAACAGGCAGGCGGACCTCGACGTGTCCACTTCAAGATTGTAAAACTATCGAATAGTGCTCAAATGCTCGAGCAATTGCGCGCGGATGCGGTTCGTACCAACGCAGTGACCGAATATTCGGATTAATTCAGGTTTATGGCAACATCGACGCCTGATTATTGAGCTTGATGATGCATCTAGTCGTGTGTTTCGTGGAACTTTCACGTGTAATCAATGAATTTAATTAAGACTAACTTCGTTTCGGACGCTTTCGTTCGGTCTTTGTTCGATATGTAATAAGTAATAAGAAGAAGAAGATGCTTTCAGCACAAAAACATCCAAAACAAACTCAGCTTGGGAGTACACATAAATGTGTAGTCCTTTAACCTGTTCTGAGACCGTCTTTTGCATCGATTAAGGATGGTACAGCGTTAGTACAATTTTATAGTATGGTGAAAATACGAAATGTCCGGACACGCTTTATCTAATCCTGGACATTCTTTTTGTTTTGATCCTCACGAATATTTAAACTGTTAACATAAAGCATGTATTGAATGTGTACATTCAATGAGTCTATTCTATTGCAAGTTTAAATATTCGTATTTGAAGGACAAAACAAGAATGCCTACAGATTCAGCACGTGTTCGGGAATTACTGGTATTTTCATCTTACAATTTTTTACATTTATACAAATAAACCAGTGGCATAACCAGGGGGGAGATTGAGGGGGCTGCAGCCCCCCCCCCCCTGAAGTTGATTTTCTGGGTTACGCTAAGTGTGAGAGAAATTTTTTTGAATGATCTTTTTTTTTTTGCTCGTCAAAAATAAAAAGTACAGTTTCCCCCCAAAACTTTTTTTCTGGCTACGCCACTGAAATAAATCTTACAAAATGTCGAGATATTTAATCTTCAAGCGATTGGACGTTCGTTTTATGTACAGCATTATACTTAAATGAGTATCCGAATATTCGATCCACATGTTGAGTACGAAAATCGATTCGGATGTATGAGTGACGTAGGGTACAGTTTCATCCGAGGACTGCTTAATATATACGACATACACACAGATGCCTTCCTCGTATTTTCGCGTGTAAATAAAATTCGGACTTTGTGCGACGTATACGTGTGTATTCTTTGAAATATCGTTGGTTTGCAGGTAATATTAAGATTACCTAAACCAAAAACAGAAAATTAAACCAGAATCTGATCGAGCCTCGTTTTCTCAAGATGTTTGTAATTCGTAAGAAACAACAATACGTGCCTGTCTTATGTTTCTTGGCACCTCCGTATGGATTGTTATGAAAAGACACGTTACTTAATTTATTTAGCATTGGAGTCGGTATTTTCGGTAACACACTCTTGTGGATACTTTGTTTTGTAACTTATATTTAATAAAGTCTGTCGTTTAACAAAGCGTTCGTTTCTTAAGTTAACATGGTGCTCATGGCATGAAATTAGCATAGCGCATCTCGTCACACTATATTTATACACGGAAAAAAGTACAAAATATATATATGTGTGTGTGTGTGTATATATATATATATATATATATATATATACACACGTTTTCTATTACGAAATCCTCCTTTCTCGCGCGTGGCACAGTTTTCTGTATTTAGGATTATATTTCCCTCTACACTATCTCTTGAAATTAGTCCCCTGATATTACTAGGCTTATTTAGAAAGATCAATATCGCACTGGTCATTGACTGATTATATCGAGAACTTCTCATATCTAAAAACGAGAAATCTCACGTGCACTTTGAAAGGAAAGAATGCCAAAAGAAGTAACGTCTCTTGAAGGAGACATATCGCTAGAATATAAGACTATCACTATAATAGTACAAATATGCAATTCGTAGAATTCAATATAATAAATTTATTTTTTATCAAACTAAATTAAAATTTCTTGTCCGCTAATCGGAAATGATAGCACCACGGCGTATGTTCTCAAATCGTTCCGCTTCGTGAAGTCAGCTTTTTGCTTTTACATCACGAAAAGTAACGTCACAGTCAGTCTACATACGTTTCCCATGTATAATACAATTGTAGTAAAACGTAAACTTCCATTCACGACTATTTGACAGTATTGACTTCCACTCACGACTATTTGATAGTAACTATATATGTTGCAAAATTATTCTAACGCGGTACCATGGCGAATTTCACTCTATGTCCATAATATTCGGTTCTTTTGTTTAGAACGCAAATCAAAAAAAGTAAAGCAGACGTTTGTATATAAATATGATAAATGATTTGTCAATCAATATCACTTCTTCTCAAGCTTTTTCATTCAGGCTCGTATTATGAAAATAAAATATTCAGATTTGAATTCAGAGTTATATATGAACTTGTCATTTGAATTTTTTTCAAATAATGTAAAATTCACATTTAACATCTATATTCAAATCTAGATACTTGGCTTTCAAAACTTGGTACTTGAAGCAAGTTTCAAGTAGCAACTATCAATACCGGTCTTAGAAATGTCACTATAATTTGTATTATGGTTGTAATCGTTCTATACATAGGTGTTAAGACAATTCAGACAAGTGAATATTTAATAAAACGAATTACGGATATGCACACACATATACACATACATACATACATGCGAAGTCGAAATTTGCTCACGTCTTCGCAATATACCTATAATTATTCGCCGCATATTCCCTCTCGTTTTTCAACACAATTTTAATCACGATGTCATAGATGTTATCAACATTTTACTACACGTAAAAATAATCTTTTGTGAATGTCACTAAACTCGTGTTACTGAAGATGCGGCTTGATTCTATAATATTATATACTATTGTAAATTATAAGTAACCTATCTAAAAAAAAGAAAAATTTAAGATGAGAAAAAACATAAGTATTTTGCGATCGTAATTCCTGTATTGTAAAAATGGGAATATGTTTCTTGTCTTGTATATATATATATACCAAATTTTGTATATATATACTAGTATGTACATACTAGTATATACATACTAGTATATATATACTAGTATATATAAACTAGTTATGAATATTCGCAACTTTCACTTACTCCTCCAAGTTATTCATTTGTTTGTTCCATAACACCGAATCGTCGAGCTATCGTCTCTGAGAAGGAAACATGAGAAAAGGCTTTTGGATATATATACAAAATCTTATGACCCATTAGATTCTTCATAACAATGTATTCAGATTTTCTAAAATATCCTCAATTTCTATAAATCTAATTTTTTACTCTCGCTGCTGTTAACTAAAGATTCAACAAAATATTGTGTCTAAAACAATTGCAAACATATATATGTATATATATATATGTGTATGTATATATATATATATATCTCAATTTCGAAAATATTCTTAGACATTTTCTCAAATGTATGAGACAACACATGCAAAAAAAACATCTTATTTTTAGCAAGATATTTCTTATTTGCTTTATAAGTCCATCAAATGTCCATGGACGAAGACGCTTTCATAAGACGTTTTTTCTTAAAACGAGTGACATTGTGTTTCAGAGTTCAATTAGTTGAAGCAAACATCATCAAAGAGTTGCGAATACTCGTTAAGATGTATATCCATCACAACCCAACAGGCATCACATAATTGTTTACCTTGCCTAATCGTTATTGTGAAAACAGCTAATTACAGAATACAGCTACAAAACATTTAGTACGTATGTGTACATATTTATCAGAATATTAAGAAACGTACGCTGTCGTTACTCTATTGACTCTAAACCTTAGATCGTTTACGCGCAATCGCGTCTTCTACGGCCTTGAGTTGCTTCAGCAATTCCTCGCGTCGCGAGCTCGCCTTCTTGGCGGCCTTGGCAGCCGCGGCAGCTACACTCGCTTTGCTGTCGATCAACGGCGGTGAATCGAGTCCTCGCTTTTTACCCGCCATCAGCGCACTACGGTCGATCTTCTTCACTGCCGTAGTGTTGCTCGTGGGTTTCAACGTGAGCTTGATCTGTTGTTTAGTGCCGCCGAGTTTTAGAGCGTCCATGCTCTTGGAATCTTTGCGTGTTATCGGGGGTGTCGAACCTTTTCTCCTACGGGTTTCGCTGGAAGATGATGAGTAGCTCGATTCGCTCGAGTCACTACTGCTCCCACTGCTTTCCGAGCCTGAGCTACTACGAGATGATCTAAAACATGTTCCTCTTTTATTTAATTGAGTTTATTATATTTTATCTAAATGAATTTACGATATAACAGAACATTATAAATAAAAAAACAGAATTATATTTGTCAGTTGAATAAATCACACCGCTAATCTCGAAGAGGAGACATAATAGTCCGAGTGCCGTAAGCAAAGCTCCTATATATATAAAGGGACTACTTCTCTTAGTATTATTAAAAGATTATTTTGCAAAATAGATTACAGTAGAAATCTTTAGTTTTTCGCTATTACTGAAATTAATAGACGAGTTCTCATACCTAGACCTAGAGCGACTCTTAATAATCTTAGCTACAGCAGCAGCAGCAATGGCCGCCTTGTCTCTGGCTTTTTCATGGTGACGATGTGATGAGAGCGGACTCGGCGCGGGTGGATTCAAGCCGGCCCGTCGATGCAGCGTACCCGTTGTAGGAGAGATAGAACCTTTCGGTGGGCGAGGTGATGGAGCAGGAGGATTCATTAACATGGCACCTCGTTGAGGTGGAGCCGTGGCAACAGCTGAAGGATTCGAGGGCGGCGAACTCACGACTGTTTTGCTTTTGCCAGCAGCTCGGGTTCTAGAAGGAGGGGATGGTGAACGGGACCTGGACAGGGAATCGTAAGAACTGTAGCTGGAACGGCTCGAGCTACGGCTAGAACTAAAAAGATGATGCTCTTGTATGTTTTCGTGTATACCCGAGTAAATGGATAAAACTAAATGTCTGAATAATTTAAATATTTAAACGAAACAAAACTTACGTCTTAATAATAATCTTTAAAAAATGTAAAGCAACGATAACTTTAAATATTTAAATAAGACTAAATATTTAAATAATTAAACAAAATAAATATAAGCATACAAGCAGTTTTTTAATGAAATGCGCTACACCATAATCATCGCTATTCTTGAGAAGTATCTTGGATATATCCGTGTCCTCTATTATAAGATTTATTAAACATTTAGATGTAAATCTGGATATTGTACCTCGTTGATGAATAAGAAGAGCCAGAAGAATATGACTGTCGGCGTGGTCGTCGGGACGACGTATTTCGACGAACGGCACTCGGGGATTTGCGTCGCATCCACGGATCAGCCCATTCATCGCCTCTGCCTCTAACTTCGACAGGAGGTGGCTCTTCTTCCCGCCAAGGTTTCGTCGGCGGTATACGTTCCACGATGACCTCACGCGACGGCCGTTTATGTTTCTTTTCATACTTCTCGTAATAATCACGTTCTCTATCGCGCTGCTCGCGTTCTCGTTCCCGTTCGCGGTCACGATTGTGTGGTGGCGGTGGAGGTGGTGGTGGTGGCGGTGGCGGTGGTGAAACTGAATGTGTGCCGCGAGGAATCGCATGATAATCGATGCGATCTCTGTATTCAGCCGGACGATCTTTATAGTGAACTCTCCTGATAAAAAAATATAAATTGAGATAAAACAGAAGAAACGTAAGTCGATCCAGCGGCCAGAAAATCACGGTTGAAAAAAGATCTTTCTTTTTTTAGGACTGCATTATCTCACCTATAATAATCTGACGTAGGTGGTGGCGGGTAATAACCCTCGGGTTCGTCAATATACCTGTCCGGTGTGAGTCGAGAAGACGGCACTCTACGCGGGGCTTCCCGTTGTGGCCATCTCTCAACTGGCGGCTCAGGACTAGCGGCTCGAACATAATAGCCAGCCTCTCTATCGAGCTCATCTTGCCCTAAACTCAGGTTCATTTTCTTCTCCTCAAAATCCATGTCCGATTCTTTTCGTTTGTTAGCTTTACGCATCATCTGTTACAAGAAGCAAGAAGAAATGAGTTTTCCTTCTTGTCCTCTTCGGAATCTTCCATCGAAATTAAAACTCCTGGCACTTCGCCGCGAAATTCTTGATTGATGATGTCAGAAGCAAGAAAATACGCTAAAAATTTTTGGAAAATACATTGAAATAAAAAGATATATCCATAAAATAATACTTGCAATCGATCAAATATACTTGTAAAATAATTCGAACGCTTTCCTTTTGTTTGAACAATAGCCGTAAAATTAATGTGACACGTAACCTTTCTCTTTAACATATCTTTTTTCATGATTTTGTCACATTAATTTCACGATAAATTATTGATTATCAAAGTAAAAGAAAAATGCTAAAACTACTTTGCGAGTCTGCCCAATCGATTGCAGATAATATTTTGTAAACTTACCATTTTATTTCAATATATTTTGTATACATTTTTAACATGTATTTTCTCGTTTCTGCCATAAAAAAAGTGGCCACGGTGAGAGACCAGGACTTTTAATTGCGTTTTGGAGGGAATGTTACGTGAGCCACTTACTTCTTTGGCGTGGCGCAACCCACGTTCCCATGCAGACTCCGTTGGCGTCTCTTCCACTTTAGTTGTATGTGTAGGAGCACCGTAACCAGGTAATGAACGTGCCATATTCGATCTGTCGATGTGCGACCGATACTCGTGCGGCGTGGCAGCATGCGGTGGGTACGCCATGGGCCTTATCATATCGAACATCGTATAGTTCCCTTTATCAGTCACGCCAGGGTGCAAGAATCTGCAGCTAACACCCCACGTGCATTGGCCTCGATTGTAGAAACGACACACGGGTCTCGGCTCGGTCTCCTCCGGCCGTGCATCGTCCCCGTCACTGAGTTCGCCTTCCTCCAACTCAGACTCCTCTTTCTCTCCTTCATGTTCTCCCTCTTCTTTGTCATTTGTTTCACCCAACTCTTTCGACTTCACCTTATCTCTGTCCTTATCTTTGTCTTTACTATCTTTGTCCGTGTTTCCTTTAGTATCTTTCCCAATTGGTACTTCGGTTTCTCCTGGAATTTTAGTAATACCTAAGGATTTGTTTGGAAAATTTAGCATAAGGCAACGTTCTTTTGAAGTAGCAACACTTGATAAAACTCAAAGTTATTTATTTATTTATAAATAGATCACCCATTTGACACAAAAGAGACAATATATAAATGATAATAAATATATACAATATAAGAAAAAGAAAGCAAGCTAAATGAAAAAAAGAAATTATGGTCTGATTCCATGATATCTATATAAATGTTATAGATAATGTTATTGTTAATTTGACTCCAAGTACATTTGCACATATGCATTACCTTCGTCACGTTCGTCTTTCCATTGGCCGTCGGCTTCAAAGTCTAGTTGTTCGCTTTCCTCTGCTAAGCCAACAGGAGCAATTTTTTCTTCCTTTGCCGTGCTTTGCTCGTCATTCATGGTTTGCTTCTTGTCGTCCTGCTCTTTAGCTTTATCATCTTCTGTGTTCTGCTTGCCCGAACTCTCGAGACCATCTATGCTTTCAAGATCCGACACATCTGACAAATCTTCACCATGGGTCATAGGCGTAGGTTTGGATTTAGATGTGGGCTCGGGGTCGTCCTCGATATCACCGTCTGAGATCTGCTCACCGTCCAACAATTCGTTAAACGAACCGTTCTTTGTTTCCTCAGGCGACCGAGGACCCGAATGCGAATGCTTGTCTGAGTCCTGGTCGTCCATAGGAGATGCTGGACCAGACTTGTAAGACTTCGGCGAGCTTCTAGGCGACATCAGAGACTTGACGGAGCTACGGCCAGATCTAGGCGACTTTGGCGAGCTCTGTCTAGACTCGCTGTTCTTGTAAGAGTACGATTTGGGCGAGTTGTCGACGGATCGCTGCGGGTCGACCTCGAAGTCCGACGTTTTCGACTCGGTATCGCCGAAACGCAGGGACTTGCAGTCATTCGGCGGAGAGAGGCACGAGCCATTGTCCTGCACAAGTGAGCGAGACGAGCTGCGATCCGATCGTGGCGAGTCCAGAGAGTTGTTTCCGGAACGGTAAGACTTCGGCGACGCCGGCGGCGACGCAGGCGGCGATGCAGGTGGTGACGCAGGCGGCGACGCAGGTGGTGACACGGGCGGTGACGCAGGCGGCGACGCAGGCGGCGACGCAGGTGGTGACGCGGGTGGTGATGCGGGTGGTGATGCGGGTGGTGACGTAGGCGGCGACGCAGGTGGTGACTTGGTGGACATGCTACGGATAGACCTCGACGAGCCTTCTTCACTAGGTGACATTAGTCCGGATCGCGGCGACTTGGGCGAGAACGGTGTGGATCTCGGCGATTTGGAGTCCCGGCCGGACACCATCGACCCGCGAGACTTTCCCCCTAGAGAGGAGATCGAGCTCGCCGGCGACTTACGTCCGGATCCGGATGAGTGATGCGAGTAATGCGACGACGTCATATCGTCCATGGCAGTGACTCGATTTCTACCTCCGTCATAACCCTCCGAGGAAGTACTCTCTGAACCAGAATCGGACATGCTGAACTATCTCTATCAGCCTGTAAAACAATGAGATCCATTAACAAAGGCGACGGGCGACTCCTCGCAGGACGGGAACAGGAACATTGTTTTTTTTTATTTCTTTTTCTTATTTTATGAAATATTATAGAAATGTAACAACGTTTTTGAGGTCTCCTCTCTTATTTGTTACAAGTTAAAGTTCCCGACTCCTCGCCGCGGCCATCTTGATTTATAATGTAAAAAGAGCAAGAAAATATACGCTAAAAATTCTTGCAAAATGTGCAGAGATAGAGAATATATTTATAAAATAATACTTGCGAACGATCGAGTATACGTGTAAAATAGTCCGAACACTTTCCTTCTGTCCTAACAATTGATGGATAACCGTGAAATTGACGCGACAAGATCGTGAGGAAAGGTAAGTTAAAAAAGTGGGTTTGCACGCCACGTAATCTGATAGTAATTTCTCAATAGTTAGAGCAGAAAGAATGGATTATTTTGCATGTATTCGATCGATTGCAAATGCCCATTTTAGCTACATTTATAGCTACATTCTTTCATCACTTCGACGTGATCCAGCAAGATTTTATCGTGTATTTTCTCGCCTCTGACACCGTCGATCGAGAGTTCTGCAGCGAGAAGGTGGGAGCCTTAAGTCTTTTGAAAAGACGATACCGACCGAATGTAGCGCTGAAAAATCTGCATCAGTAGCATCGCAGGGCTTACCTGTGTCGATCAGAGACTGTGCAGTGCTCGCTCTTGATGGCACAACGCGCGCGATCCATAACGTGTCGAACATATATATCACAACTTTTTTCCTTACTTCTTTTTATTAAAAACTTTGATACTTTATTACTTATCAACCGAACTTGTTTGCCGTCACATATACGATACGTACTGTTTCCCGGTTCAGGTTTACTCGGGCGCGGAACTTTTGAACTTTTCAACTTGAACACAACACAAACTAAGAAAGTACCGATAAACCACAAAACCGTACTTTTGTTATTGCACTAGAAACTAGAGCGAACGAACTTTCAACCTGAAAGAATATTTTTTGGCCCTATGGAAAAAGAAAAACTGGGAGGAGTTGGGAGCGAGTTGAAGAAAGATGAGAGAGCATGAAAAAAGCTGCGCTGTAAGTAATTGGAGTATTCTAATGCTGTCACATCATTTTCTCTGCTTCTGGCAAAAGAGAATTCAACGAGTACTCTGGATCACATGTGTTATCAAAATATATACTTCAAAGTCCAGCGAAAGCAACAAATACCTTCGAAAGCAGAATTAACTTCAAGCAGAATTAACCTTTGCCATGATACCGATAACATCTCTGAAAACGTTAATTCTCAAAACGAAACAAACTTATGCTGTGTGTATGTATGTGTGTGTGTATATATGAATCTTGTGAAATGGCCATGAATCCACGCTATCTCGATTGCGGTAACAACGCGCGGTCGATTTTCAATGAATTATAACCTAACTTGCAAATCTCGGAATATCTATACTTTATCTTCGTCCCGAAACGAACGTCACGCTCGTTTCACCGTAGGAACCACCTCAAACAATAAGCCCGCGGAGAGGTTATGGTCCGCGCGACGTCGACATTATACCGCGATCAAGATCGTGAGGACTCGGGGCATCGGGCGAGAAACGGAGCAATCGCGGAGTGATTCTGCTCGCGGGGGATGTGGTGCGCACTTGATCATTTTGTGTCGAGATGAACAGTCCGCGATGAGAATGGCATTGCGGGCCTCTTACCTTGATCGCGCGTATGCCTGTGGGCCTTAGGAGTCTTCGAGGCTCCCCGAGGCACAAGGCGGCCGGCGTCACTTGTGCAGAACGCTAGCGTTCTCGCTAATACACGAAAACGTGCACGCTCTTAACCGCCTTTCTCCACGGCACCTACGGCGGCCTACACCGCCTGAAACGTTGCGAGAGATCTCGTCTGCGATCCTTCCCTCCTTCCTTCCTTCTTCTCTTCCTTTGTCAAATCTTTCTCTCCGTCTCTAGCGTCGCAGAACCTCACTCGTTCCGTCGAAAACGGCCGGATTACACGAAAATGTCCAGCCGAACGTAGATTCGATGTGTGTACATTTAGTCATGGGATTTTCCGATACTAGACGGGGCTATATAGAGGTCTGTTCTTTTCAGCTGCACTGTTGACTGGTGCAATAAGTTAAGCTGCCAATACATGGAGCGTTCCAGCGTCGAGCGTTAAAGCGTTAGCCAATCAACGTATCAGGTCCCAGAAGTATACTTTAGTTATTGCGGAAAGTTGCACGTTGATTGGCTACCGCTTTAACGCTCGACGCTCGATGCTCCCATGTAAAGATACCTTTAAGCCAGCGGCACACGATGCTTGTTTTCACGCTGGATTGCTTGCTGGATGGCAATACTCTGTTCTGATTGGTGCATTTCTGAAGACGGACCAATCAGAATAGAGTATTTTCATCAAGCAAGCAATCCAGCACGGAAACAAGCATCGTGTGCCGCTGGCTTTAGAGTGAGACAAATACATTTTATTTCACTTTAGCTTATTGCACCAAAAACTCGATTCTCTAACTAGTATACGTAATGGCTTCTGCACACAGGACGCGGTAATGCTTGCCGCGCGGCTGAAGTTCGCGCGACAGCCAATCAATATGCTGCTTTCCGTAATAACCTTCTAGCTCCTACAGAAAAACAACATATTGATTGGCTGTCGCGCGGTGGAAGTTTGCGTAACAGCTAATCAATATGCTGCTTTTCGTAATAACCTTCTAGCTCCTACAGAAAAACAACATATTGATTGGCTGTCGCGCGGTGGAAGTTTGCGTAACAGCTAATCAATATGCTGCTTTTCGTAATAACCTTCTAGCTCCTACAGAAAAACAACATATTGATTGGCTGTCGCGCGGTGGAAGTTTGCGTAACAGCTAATCAATATGCTGCTTTTCGTAATAACCTTCTAGCTCCTACAGAAAAACAACATATTGATTGGCTGTCGCGCGGTGGAAGTTTGCGTAACAGCTAATCAATATGCTGCTTTTCGTAATAACCTTCTAGCTCCTACAGAAAAACAACATATTGATTGGCTGTCGCGCGGTGGAAGTTTGCGTAACAGCTAATCAATATGCTGCTTTTCGTAATAACCTTCTAGCTCCTACAGAAAAACAACATATTGATTGGCTGTCGTGCGGACTTCCGCCGCGCGGCATGCATTACCGCGTCCTGTGTGCAGGAGCCATAAGTTTTACTGCGCAGGTTTAATCATACCATAAAATAGTTGCGCAGTAAAACTTATGGCTCCTGCACACAGGACGCGGTAATGCTTGCAAAATGCAAGCAACACGAACACTTTATTGATATGCAAATGTAACCTTAAAAAATTTTGTATCGACATGTCCTAAGTAGTGAATCAGATATGACAGAACGTTATTACAACATTATATAATAAACTCGATATAAAACTATTTCTTAACTTACCCTGATTTGATCCTTATACATTTCTTATTATTGCTTTGTAAAACTTTTTATATGTGACAATATCTACTTCATCACACCTTTTAGTTCAAACGACACTAAAAGATACGCTAACTAATAGCGAATTCGGTAGCTTGCACTAGTGCGCACTGAGTGCGCATTAAGGCTTGTTTACAGTACATTCTTATATTTAAGATCGTGTCTTAAATACATATTTAAAAACATTTTAACTAATAAAATGATTCGTACGGATGTTATACATATCATATTATGGTTAAAAATATTTGAGAATTTATTTGAGAATTATTTAAGACAATCTTTAAATATAATAACATACTATGAACAAGCCTTAGTGCGCACTCAGTGCACACTAGTGCAAGCAACCGAATTCGCTATAATACAGCCAAAAATTGGATTTGGCGTAACGAAAATAGCGTAAAGAGCACAAAATAACTAGGCGGAAACTGATACTTAAATGAGATGATGTGATTGGTTGGCGCAAGTTACGCTTACGCCGCATGGAAAGGCACCCTAAAAAAGATGTACAGAAATCTCGCGCATGCGCCTATCTGGTGTCCAACATTCACTTGTTTGAATTCATTAACTTGTTTGAATTTTTAAACGTAACGCTTGCACGACTATTTGTCTCGTCGCTTCTACGTGATAAAACGACGTTTGGAGAATAGAATTATACTTGAAAATATTGAGTTCTCCGTATGGATTGAGACAAGTTTAAAATTTATTTGTCAATCGCAACTCTGAGGAAGAATTCGGAGATTCTGAGGAGCTAGGTATAACGTGCAATTATAAGATGCAATACCCGTACGATCATTTTCCATCTTTACTTTCTCATTTTAGTTTAATTCTTTAATTTTACACATATTTTTTAATCATCAAGGAAGCAATCATTTTCAATATTTCTTTCGATATATACATATACATACGATACTGTGATATTCTACGACGAAGTTAAATGTACATCGATTGCCAGATGAAAAACGCAAACTCCTATGTCTCCCGCATTGTCATTTTGTAGTGAAGAGATTATAACGGAAAAATAATGCCTACGCAATGCTCGTAGAGATACTTGAAGAATCGAGAAATCAACGAGAACGTGTCAAACTTAGGTTAGTTTTTGGAACTCGCGTAAATCGCCGTGCTTTGACAAATGGGTTAATACAGCGCGTGCGTTCTTTCAGACTTCGAGCGTTGGATCATCGACTCCTCGTCGCTTTGATCGGCATTCTGCATCGACATCTGCATCAGCTTGGTAACGAGTGCAGGATTTGTCCGTATCACTGGAAGTAGCATTTTCGCAGGTATCCTGCAATGTATTTATGTACATGTATTATATACGTTTCCGTACGCAGGAGTATAGTAAGAGGCCTGTTTTTTTTCTCGAAGAACTTAAATTAGTGTATACTGGTGCAATAACCCAGACAGTACAAATATCTAAAATCGAGTCATAAGACGTCTTTAGGACGTCCTTAAGACATTTTTAAAACAATGCCTTATAAACTTGTCTTAAAGATATCTTAAAGATGTCTTAAAGACGTCTTATGACCCGATTTTGGACATTGTGCTGTCTGGGAAGTTAGAGAAGAGAAACAAGTAAATAAGAAACACATTTTTTGGCATATCTTGCATTGATTGAGTCATTTTTAAAATTTTATGAGGATGGAATTGATCAATTAATCATAAGGTGGTGAAATCTTGTAAATTTAAGTGGCAAATATATTGTGGAGTAAATTTAAATATTCTTTTCTGTTTTCATGTAAATTTAAAGCTATCAATTTAAAATTATCTATGAAATAACTTATATATATTTCTTATGAATTGTGTAAAATAACGTAAAATAAAATTATACGTCCAATTAGTATACTGATTTTGTAACAAAAGATTGATAAAAAATTGATCCTACATGTGCAATTATATATGACTAATCAAATTTCTTAGATTTTCTTTTTGCATTTCAATGCGAATTTTAATAAAAACGAATAGTGAAACTTTTCAAACCGAAATATTTTCGGTTTTATCGATATCTTATCTTTTACAAAGCTTGCGGAATACTTACCCGGAACGCGGAAAACTTCGCAAAAGAGCCAATAGAATTTCCTCGTGTCTGCCAAAGTCCGGAGCCTCCACAGGACCTTCTCTTTTCCCGAATCCAATCGCCGTAGAGATATATTCCGGCTTGAAGCCACGGATCTCCCTCACTTTTGTCCGATGCTTGATGAAACGAGGATACTTTAACTTTTCGATGTCGCAACTCTTCGATGTCGTAGTTGCGATGAAAAGTCCCACCACGAAGACTAATGCAATCGCTAATATCGCTCGCATGATTTCCTGATGTAAAACAAAAGGGAGACACGTCAAGTGCAATAAGGAATAATTGTTGCAAAGATGTCGCTATGTATATACTATAAATATTAAGAAAAACAGTCCTTCGAGGCCTGCGTTTATCGTTATTAGTGTTACACATTAAACATACATTCATTAATTCTCTTGCGCACATTCCTTAATTTCTATTATATGAAGTTCTTACGAGATTTCACGGGACATTAGAACGTATTGTTTGATATTGACCTGCATATGTATAGACGTCGCATTGCCATTGAATATAAAAGCTTATTTGAAGCTATATTTGAATTATTATAATTCATACTTACTTTGAAACACACGCATGATAAAAATTGATTAATGCAGGGTATATTTGTCATATATTGTTAAATTATATAAAATAATCACTAATACAAATGAATATGATGTAGATAAAACCATAATACTCGCTTAACATATTATATAATATAGAAGTATACTGATAATTAAATGAAGTATGAAAATACATTGAAAGTATACTGAAAATATAGTGATAAAGTAAAGAAGAAGATACTGATATATATTGGTAAAATAAGATTATAATGTAAATTATTTCTCGTAACTTCTGTTGGCAAAGATTTTTTAAGTTTTGTCATTTCAGTCTTTACACTTGTAAACAATGTTTACAACTTGTAAACTTGATTTTATCTAAATATAGGTAATGATTTAAGCCAATAAACAATTACAGTTTCCGAAGTATTTGTGTCTTGATGAAATTTTGAAAAATGTTATCAACTCTACTCGCGTCCTATATGTTATTCCGAAAATAGAAACCATTTTTAAATTAATATCTGTCTAATTTGGAAAATATATCTCTCGTTTTCGCAGGTATTTGAATTAAATTCTAGCGACACGCGTTGCAATCTGTCAAGCCCAATCGCAGATTTCAAGAGGAGGAAGAACGTCGACTTAATCCGTACGTGCGAGAGTTGAGAACTGGCTTCCGAGACTATTCCACGTCGTTTTGTATGAAGCCGCCGACATCGGCGTCACCGGCGGCCGCTGACGCCGTCGTAGCCGCCGTTGACGCCGACACAGCCGTGGCCGCTGTTGCCGTCATCGCCGCCGCCGCCGATCATATATTTTGTTAATTCCTCAAATGCACCCAACCGATCCATTCGAATCATTTAGTACCGCATTGAAATCTCCGTTGATTAGATAGCTGCAATCAGGGGGAGATAGTAATTTTCTATGAGAACGTATCTGGAAACGAAATACGGGTCATGCGACGCAAGAAGGCGCCGAAACCGCCGCCGCCGCCGTTGTTGTACGCCGCGTATCGTCTAGCCGCCAATGCGTATGCGAAGTATTCCCGCAGTATTCGGCGATGCTGCCCCTGAGAATGCTCTCTTCGTAATGACGATACCACGCCCATGCTTTCATCTAATTTACAAAGCGTAAGCCTCGTTCGATGCAAACTACAACGCAAGGCGTTGGCGATGGTTTACAATTAATTAGAGCAGTAGGAGCGCGTTGTAATTTAATTAAATAATACAAAATTAATTGTAATATTCTTTCTACAGAATTCAGTCGAATACATCTAATAGTTTCTTATCTCGTCAAAATTGTGTTTTCTACTAAAATCTATTTTTTAAATTATAATTATGGATAATTGAGAGAAAAAGAAAGAAACATCGTGCAAGATAAGAAAGCACAATAGTCAACTAAAAATATTAGGCTATGTAATATTTTATTTCATTAATTTTATATAAAATACATATCTTTATAGAGTTAATAATATCGATTCATTTATACAGTGTATAGATAATATTACTTCGTATTATTGCATTATTTCGCCATTTTAACTAAAGAATGATCTAAAACGACAACAGGTATCTCTTTAAGAATAAGAGAACGTGGAATACCGGAATATTTCACAAAAAGCTCCAGGAAATGAAGATTAGTAGCTCCTTCGGTTTCTGTGTCGCTACCTGCTTTCATGCTGAAAACAAAGTCATCATTAATTGATACGTATTAATTAACTTATACCAAGTGGCAGTGTATTACCGTATTCGCGACGTTGTAATTATGGTATTATTCTTACCTTTCCACGGTGAGGAATGACAGGATATACATACATAAATATTTTATATATCGATTCATCACAGAGACGTGGAATTGACGAAGGATCGTTTGTAGGCCTATCGCAAATACCGTAGCGTCGACAGGATCTTGATATCTCTTGCTTAACAGACTTGCTATAGTAAATAAAAATAAAATACAATATGTATATGACGTTGCATTTTATACGATGAGGGATTATTTGTATTTTCCTGATACACAAGCATTAATAATACGTACCTGTATTTTTGCAATATATCAATTTGTTCAACTGCGACACTGTGAATAAGAACACAATAAGAGCTATATTATCTATCTTTGGTGGCTTGATATAAACTTTATTGTGCGGATCGCTAATGCCAGCCCAGTCCAATCGCACGCTGAGTTCGTGAAGCAATTCGCTTTTCTCCGACTCGGTTTCACTACTGTTATCTTTGTTTGCTATTTCGCACAAGATTGCTCTGCAAAGTAGAAAAAATGAAGAGCAAGAAAAGAAGCCGCGAATTATTGAATTCATCTTTACATACGTATTCAATGTCCGGAGTGCCGCTTCCATATGTTTCGCTTCAAATTTGCAAGCGGTGTTCAGCTCATACGCTATCTTTTTTCTGAGTAATTGATAATGACCTATTTTCAATGTCCATTCGAGTGCTGGTAACCATAATTTGTTGCTACTAGCATTTACGGAATTATGAAGTTTCGTGATGTTACCTAAGAGTAACATATAATCAACTATTTTTGTCGTGAATTAACATATTTCTGTATATTATAGTCTTCAATTTTACCTTTGACTTTATCGGTAACGAATAAATCGCATTAGTTTTTAACAACAAGTGTATGGACGGTTATCAGAATACAAGAATGAGAAAATATCGTTGTCAAAGTGGTGATGTCGATTTTTCTTTTATTTCGAATTCTTACCTTTAGCACTGTCTAAGGTACTCAAAGTAGTCTCGCAATCCTCCAACATCGACGTCCATGTCTTACTCCGTATACTTCTCTCTATATAATGAACCAAAGCTTCCAGTTCCATAACGATGTAAAAAGAGATGAGCTTATCCAATCCCGATAATCCTGGAGTACCTATCGTTTCTAATATCACGGAGAAGACTTTGTAGTTTAAGATTTCATTTTGCGTTTTAATGTCATACCACGCTAGAGAATGATCTATATATACAGTAGTTCTGAAATAACACAAATGAATAGGTACTCGGAAGTTAATTTACTAAAGTGAAACCTACATAAACGACACGATACCGTGGGTCGGTGATACGAATGAGTTCTCTGGCAAGCCTGCCCATAAAAGTCAGAGAATTATTGTCCGTTGAAATTGTACACTTATCTTCCTGGAATTGTCTCCATGATTTTCCTGGTACCCAGGAAAAGCCTCTACGTTCTTCTTCCACTGCGTTATTTATGATGTATATAATCTAAGAACGTATGTTGGAGAAATGTCAAGTAAAATATAATTATACAATAATCTTACTGCAACTTATGATTATAGAATTCTCTTACTTCTTCGTGCCATATCTTCAAACTGTTTATATTAATGTAATCCTGAATATATTGAAAAGATTTTCTATATCCATCCATAATTGAAGATAAATTAGACAATTTTTGCAGAAGAGATGTCTGAAATTTTTATATTTATATATATAATAAAATAATATAATCTTTAAAAAACTCATTTACCTTAGATTTCTGATCAAAGTTGAGGCCATTGTATAATGCTAAACTAATTTTCTTTGAGAGCTCTTGACGTATACCGTCCTCTAAAAGACGATGCGAATCAACCCTTAAAACTCCTAGAGAGACACTTCTCAGTGACAAAACACCCTTTGTAAAAACTGATACTGCATATGTTAATTTAGCCATCTAAAAAAAATATTAAATGTGAATAGCCATTCATAAATATAAAAAACATTCCTTTTTAGATTAACGCAACTTGATGCAATGAAGATAATTCATTACAATATGTACCTGCAGTCTCTCGTTCAATTGTGCATAGTCTTTAAGTTTATCTTTTGGTAATTTCGTTGGAATTTCTTTAAATGCATGCGTCTCGAGATGTACAATCTGCGCTAATAAACCAAATACTGTCTCCGGTATAATTTGCAAAACACGTCTGGCATATCCTTCTAGTTCTCTACTATAGTATTGGGATACCGAGGATAGATCTGCGCTTCGCGCTTGATTTACCCTTAACAATGGAGTTTCTAATGCCGAAGCCATCTAAAAATAATAAAATGTATAAATTCATATCTCAAAATCAATACTTAAAATATAAATTCATACTCAAATATAATATTCATACTCAATAATAGTTTTTACTTATTTATACAGTTTTTACTTATAAATTTATACTTTAAGAAAGAGAGCCTTCAATTTGATAACCGTCGGTGGATTTTCTTTAATACTCTCTTGCATCACGTCGATAAAAGATTCCATAATATTCCACGCATAGCAACAGTCCGTTACAATATTTAAGCTTATCATAATATCTTCGGATATGCTGCCTGTACGCAACATATTGTGTAAAGTCTCGCGCGTGTCAGCCAGATACTGTGAAATGTGTAGATTATTTTCTAACTGGTGAAATTCTGGAAATGATAATACATTATAAACACTCATTTGCAAAACAAATTTCTTTCAGTTTGTATATCCGTACCTTGCACTTGTTCCAGCGCTTGCAACAGCTGTACTATCTTTCTCCCGTCCTCTTGCTTCAACGAATCGATGTGCTTACTGATTTCCATGAACCACGAATAAAGATTTTGGTTTTTATCAATACCATCCAGAGGTTTAGTGCCGCCAAAAATTTGTGCAAGATCAGTTATACGTTCGACACATGTTTCTTTATCTTTGAGCCACTTCGCCTCTTTTCCAAGCAGCAACTAATAATACGAAAGCAAGTTAAAATTATACACTGTTTTCTAAGATATTTCTGATTATAAGAATAGTGAAAAATTTAAACATACATCTTTATACATCTGTTTAACATCCTGTTCAATTTGAGCAGTGCTTAATAATAATCGGAGACAATTCGTTGTAGTATACTTGCTCTCGCTCACGACCAATTGGCGCAAAGTACGCGAACGTTTCGAATCCTCCAGAGCTATAGTGGGCATGGTTGTATGTAGAAGAATCCAGTGCAGCGTAACATTAGATTCCCTCATTAATTTGACCAAGGAACCCGTTGCATTCTCATCCAACGTGCCTGCCTTCTGTACTTCGTCCGTCTCTTGTATTAGTTTCTGGAATATTTTTTCTATGAAACAAGTAAAAGAGATGGCTCTGAGAAAATATTAAATTATTTTGCTTTATAATCCAGGAACTTCGTGTGAAATATATTTTTAATGTGCATACAATAGTTGTTAGTTGATGTTTACAGAGACATTATATTTACTCCTATGTACAAAACAACTCCATGTGTGAACACTGAACTCTTACTTACATCCATCTTTGTTCCATACTTCTGCGCAATTCCTTTCACATTAGAATTCTCGAGCGTATTATTCAGTGCTGTTCGCGCAGCTTTATACGGAGACCACCAATCGCACAGATTGATCACTGTTCCCATGTAAATACTAATTACCCAATTGTCGGGAAAAAATCTGTCCACTACTTCCCTCATAATAGCAGTTTGTGTATGAAGTACAGCTGGTTTAAACGACAATATTATCACTAACATCGATGCTTGCGTAGAAACAGCAGTACTTCGGTGTTCAGGATGCGGGAAAGCAAGGGTCTGATTGTAAATCTCGTCCGAACGCAATCGGCCGATAACAAGATCTATTAGAAAATCTCGTAAAGATACTCTCCTAAAATTTAAATATTTAATTATAATCTGAGAAGGTATTATATATTTTAAGAAATCAATTGCTCTTCTTAATACCAACAATTTACTACATACTTAAAATATTCTTCAGGATAATTAGCTGGTCTTTTGGACAGTGTTCTTACATATCCCGTCGAACGAAGCAACATACAAACATCATCTACTCTTGTGGAAGAAGATCTCTGTGCATTATATCGATAATAAGACACAAGTAATCTTTCACGAATTCGTCCTTCAAAGTGGTAATCAACCAATAATAGCATGACTCCATATAGATATACAGCCTCACACTATACAAAGATACAATTGTCCAATTTTAAGCTGTATACAGTCAATATATAATACAGTAATTTAATATTAGCTAACAAAATATCATTTTTATGCTTAGTAATTGTTAATCATTTCATGAAGAAAATAAAAAAGATATACCATTAATTGCTTTCCTTCTTCATTAAACATAATAGAGTCTACTGATTGATGTATGTAAACTCCATCTCCCAATTCATCAATATAAAAGTTTAGATCTGTAACATACTTATGTATACTCTCAAAAGCTAAGTAAAACCTTGTGAGTATGTCTGAGAAATTATTTCGTAGCTCCTCATCTGTTTCTTGGAGTATCTAGAAAATAATGTATAAACATTATATTTATATATGCTATAATAATTAAAGTGATATAATTGTATTATAGTATAAAAAGAACACTAATATTTACAGGATCATCTTCTATTTTTTGCTCATAAATACTGGCTGCTTTAAAATATGCAAAATCGATTATGATTGATCCGTACTTCTGAATTGATTGCTTTGAATCCAAGCTAGGAAATAAACATAATTGTAAAATTTATAACATTTATGTAATAAACAATAAATATCCATGCTATATTATAATTTATCGCATACATTAATAATATAGTGTATTAATAGCAGATTGATAACTATATTTATAATAAACTAACCTAAAAAAGGGTGGTACATAGTCTTTCAATCGCATTAATTCAGCTATAATAGCATTTCCGCGAGATACCAATCGTAATAAATTTTGTCCGCAGACATTATTAGCTGCTAGAAAATCGCCCATTATTTTAAACAATTGTCACGATCATTTTCTATCAAATAATCCACAGATGAATCTTGACATTTAAAAACAAAAGGCTTGCCTAGCTTGTGCGTTAGGCCGTACTACTTGAAGATAAGACGCAGTTATCTATGGCTGCGTTTGCTTGGGCGCATATGCGTTATAAGCGTCAGGGTGCAATTCATGCAACGGAATAGCGGAATAGCGGAGCGCGGAACGAGAGCAGAACCAATCATGAGCGGAAGCAATCACGAGTAAAAACTATGGAACGCTCGTGATTGGTTCCACTCTCGTTCCGCGCTCCGCTATTCCGCTGCATGAGGGTGCCATTATATGAAGCGCGGAAACAAAATCGCGGAGGACAAAATCTTACTAGATCCGTTACGCGTTCCGTGTCTATTTTGATTGCCTTATATTACATATTTTAAGCGGAAAAGCAGTATGGGAAATTATAAAATATTAATTTTTAACGGTATTTATTAATTAAAATGCTTGTATTCAACAGATAAGCTGAAAAGATAAACATATTAGTAAAAATTGCAGTAAATTAAAGTAATATAATTTAAAAAAATGAATACAGATGTTTATTTGTCACCAAACCGTTCCGCCTT